GTGTGCTTCGGATTTGGTTTAGTCTCCACCTACCTGCCATGCCTCGTGTCGGTATCCTGCAGTAGAGGTCAAAAGTTCACGTATTCAACATGAAAGAGGCGCGCAAGGGTCGCAGACGTATTTTGACTGCTTGGTAAAAGTTACAGTAAACATCTGTTTGATGTCGCCGGCATTAAAAAACACTTGCTAACAGCGCAAAGCCAACATCTATCAAATAAAAATAATATGATTTCTTTTGATTCTTATTGTTAGTTTTGTGAATGATTGTGGAATTTAATTTAAAATATTAGAATAAATATAAAAAGTATAATTTAACGTAATAGTTATTTTATTTTATTTATTTTTTTGTATATTTTAAAATGTTTATGCGCTCCGTTTTAATTGCTGGCCTATGATTAAAATAATCAGGATAGGCTAAATAATATCAGCAAATCATATAACGTTCAAACACATTTAACTATAATGCATTTAGGATTTTGTGGACTGCGCATGTCTCATGAAACAAAGAGCATCTGGTTTGTAAACTAAACTTCATCTTCGGCGCTGTTTTCCCACCACTGCTCCGTCCAATCAAATATATGAAGCGCGCCATCAAAGGTACCGCCTTGTTAAGACCTTATTTGATGAGGCGATATTCTCAACATAATACCATATACGTCTAGCTATGCAAAATATGTATTACTTTATATCTGTTGATGTGAAGTTACATTTTTTCTTTAATATAGATAATTATGGGCAACCTAAAAGCAGGGCCGGTTTTTAATGTAATTTAAATGTTTAGTATTTTTTTCTGATAGTGATTATGGACTGGAATTAATTATATGAAATTATAGCAATATTTAGGCTGAAAATGAAAGTCTTGTGGATTACAGTAGTGTGAATTCGGTTCGCATGACTTAAAATTAGCAGGAATTATCATAATTTTGGTAACACTTTACAGCAAGGTCTCATTCGTTAACGTTAGTTAATGCAATAACTAAAATTGACTAACAATAAGCAATACATTTGTTTCAGTATTTATTAATGTTTGTTGATAATATTTCATTGTTATTTCATGTTAGCTTGTGTCCATTAAATAATATGAACAGACACAACTTTTGTTTTAATAATGTATTGGTCAATTTTCATATTGACATAAACTAAGGTTAATAAATGTTTTAGAAATATTTTAATATAATTGTTAGTTCATGCATTATTATTATTATTATATATAAGTCATAGTTAACAGATGTTAACAAATGGAAACGTATTGTAAAGTGTTGCATATAATAGCTGCAATGTCTAATATGTGACCCTGGACCACAAAACCAGTCTTAAGTCACTTGGGTATATTTGTAGCAATAGCCAAATAAACATTGTATGGGTCAAAATTATAGATATTTATTTTATGTCAAAAATCATTAGGATATTAAGTAAAGATCATGTTCCATGAAGATATTTTGTAAATTTCCTACCGTAAATATATTGATTAGTAATATGCATTGCTAAGAACTTCATTTGGACAACTTTAAAGGGCGATTTTCTCAGTATTTTGATTTTTTTGCACCCTCAGATTCCAGATTTTCAAGTAGTTGTATCTCGGCCAAATATTGTCCTATCCTAACAAACCATACATCAATGGAAAGCTTATTTATTCTTTCAGATGATGTATACATCTCAATTTAAAAAAATGAATATATATGACTGGTTTTGTTGTCCAGTGTCACATAGATGTTCTGCATATTGTCACTGGATGAATCTTGAGCTCAGAGACATTGTTTCAATCAATCAATCAATCAATCAATGTGTTTTTGGTTAATTGTTCATGTTATTTTATCAGCTTTTTTGAACATTATCAACAGGTTTGATCTACTAAAAACTTGTCTTCATGAAATCTGCTCTTTAAGTAAGTAAATTTAATTTAATGAGTACATTTAAATTCAGCTTACACTAATCAATGTGCTGTACAGAACAGTCATAAAATACAGTAAAATATAAAATAAAATTGAGTAAAAATCAAAGATAACAGTTACTAACCCATACATTAATAATTGGGAAAGGCTACAGAGTAAAAATGTGTCTTAAGTCTAAGATTTAAATACAGAAATAGAAGGAGCACTCTTAATGTCAGGTGGCAACTGATTCCATAACCGTGGAGCAGCAACTGCAAAGACTCCGTCACCTTTCAATTTAAGTTGTGACCATGGTACATATAAAAGAGCTTTATTGGCAGATCTGAGGGACTTAGGAGCTGAATTAAAAAAAAAAAAAAAGATCAGAGATGTAAGATGGGGCTTGTCCATTAAGAGCTTTAAAAACAATCAGCAAAAGTTTGAATTGAATTCTAAAAAAGACAGGAAGCCAGTGAAGGGAAGCTAAAATTGGAGTGATATGATCACGAGTTTTTGCACTAGTTAACAGTCTGGCTGCTGCATTCATGAAGACTGGGGAAGATCAAAATATAAAGAATTACAATAGTCCAGCCGTGATATGATAAATGCATGAATAATTTTTTTCCAAGTCTTGAAAGGAAAGTGTCGATTTAAATCGGGAAATTATTCTCAATTGATAGTAGCCGTTTTTAACAACTGAGCTAATTTGCTTTTCAAGACAATTCTCAGAGTCAAAAATAACACCTGATTTTTTTTTTGCATGTGACTACAGATTCTAGTTTTGGAGGGACCAAAGATAATCCCCTCAGTTTTTTCATTGTTAAGCTGGAGGAAATTATTTTCCATCCAGCATTTAAGATGTTAAAGACAGTCCATGAGAGGCTGCAGAGAATGTCTAGATTTTAATCGAACGTACAGCTGAGGATCATCAGCATAGAAATGAAATGTAATATTTCCTAATTATATTACCAAGTGGAAGCATGTACAGAGAGTAATGGCCCCAAAATGGACCCTTGATGAACCCCACAGGAGAGAGAAACAGATGATGAGAAAAACTGGTCAGTTGCCATTGAGAATGTCCTGGATTTAAGATTTGACTCAAACCACAGTAGTGCTGTATCCTTAATGCTTACCCAATGTTCAAGACGTGACAAAAGGATATTGTGATCTACCGTGTCAAAAGCGGCACTCAGATCCAGTCAAATCAAAACTGCATTTTCACCAGAATCACCCGCAAGTAACAAATCATTCATCACTTTTAACCAAGCCTTTTCAGTGCTGTGATGAGTTGTAAAACCTGGTTGAAATTCCTGAGTCGAATTTAAAAAAGGAAGTAACTGTGATAGGACAACTTTTTCCATAACTTTTGAGAGAAATGGTCATTTTGAAATAGGACGATAATTATTCAGACACTTTACATCAGCATTGGGCTTTTTAAGCAACAGCTGGACAACTGCATGCTTTAAAAACGCAGGGACAGTGCTAGAGACTAGGCAGGAATTAATAATTGCTTGAATGCGAGAACCAATTGTATCAAAAGAACCTTTAATAATGTCAGAAGGAACAACATTGTGGCGCGAAGTTGTAGAGATCAGAGAAAGACACCGCCTGAAAGCTGTTCAAACTGTAGCTGTATTAACTGAACAGTCAAGCAGAGTATTCGAGTAAGAAGGAATAAGGGATCAATGAATGCCATCAATATTTTCAATAAAATCTCTCACAAATATCAACAGATGGTTCTACTTCATACAAGATGCGAGGATTAATTATTGAATTTATAGTGCTGAACAAAATTTCAGGGGTATGAGTATATTTACTGATAATATCAGAGAAGTATTTAGCTCTTGCTTTTTTAGCTGCTTTCTGAAAATTCACCAGGCAGTTTCTAAAGATTTCAAATTAAACAGTAAAGATTATCTTTTTTCCAGCTCTGTCCAGCATATCTGAACAAGAATAATTAAAGAGAGAATTTAGATTTTCTTTTGTACATTAGTGTAACATATTTAAGTTTTCCTGAAAATCTATCAAATTCGCTGTGATACCACAATGATTTATGGGATGTACAGTATATATAATTGACCACAGGCTAACGTCCTTTGTCTGAATGCATCTTAAGATAACATAAAACATTCTTACGGCAAGATGCATGTAATAACTTGCCTTTTTCTTTTCTTTTTTTGGGGGAATTTCCCACTCTGCCAGTTTCATCTTTATGTGCAGTCAAATGCATCGCTAACTAGTGCCTCAGATCTTCAGTTACCTCCATTAAAATCAGCACATTCACAACACTGTAAGAGTAAATATATCATAGAAATTAGAAAGAAATTATAGAAATTTATCTTCCAACTTCTGAATGCTAAACCTCCATTTGCAAAACGCATTAATGGCTTGAAATTAAACTGATTTTGCATTCTGTTCTTTATTTTTTGGAAATAAAACATTGACAACCTAATATTAATCTCTTAAATAACCACCCACTCTGAGCACGTCCTGGAGAGAATCCAGATTGTTATCGTTCTTTCAGGAGACAGACTGTCTACGCTCAGCCAGTGATGGAGAAAGATAAACTCTGGTACTCTGGAGAACTTTTTATAATTTACTTTCAGTTCCCATTGTATATTTTTCCTTACACTTTTTTTAAAAATGTAAATGATTGCATTGTTTTCTAATAACACAATTCAAAAGGGCAACATGCAAGAACAAGTGAATGTTTCAAGTACATCATGATATGGGAACTGCAACACAAAATGTAACTTATCAAGAAGATCAAGGAAAACCCTTTATACCTTCACTGTTGACCTGTTCACTAAGCAACTGACTTTACAAATACATGCTCAGAATTTCTGAATATTGGAAGTGAAAGGTGTACGTTTACATTTATGCATTTAGCAGACGTTTTTATCCAAAACGACTTACAAAAGTCGAGCATAAGCAATTTGTCAAGGAGACAATATTTGTAATATACAATGCCATAGATTAGGAAGCAATCTAGAGAAAAGGAGCAATGCAGAGAAGATATTTTATTTTATTTATTAATTTTTTTTAATGTGTGAAAAAATACAGAAGACACCAAAACCAATAACTATTACAATGGAGATTTATTTCAATCTGGTAATTTTATGTACAAAATATTCATGTTATCCTGTTTCAAAGGATGAGTCTGATTCATGAGTTAAATCATAAAACAGAGACAGAGGCTCAATGGGCACAGTAACAGACATTTGCTAAACCAAATCTTTCAGTGTCACATTGTTGACAAAAGTAGATCAACACAAACATATTGCACCTTATAATATCACATCATTAGGATAATGACATGACACAGAATTATCCTTTGAGGAAGTAGGATAAACAGAAACACTTAAATGTACAGCAATATCGCAAAGCTGTCAAATTAAGTTTTTATAAAGTTATACGTTTTTATATGCCCAACAGACATCCTTCTGTTAAACTAAACTGCACAATCATTCATCTGAAACACGTCCAGTGTTTAAAAACACAAAGAAATGATTGAACATGCACAAGAACATGTTTTACAAAGCTCACATCATACTTTGCGGCATAATGTAGAATCTCAGCTGCATTTAACAGAGCTCAAGTTAAGAGAATACGGTCGTCTCATTTATGTGAGAATTCAATTATTCTCCTTTTTTATCTCCACAATTGTTGAGAAGCAAGAATAAAGTTGTAGTTGCCACCCAAGGGAAATGCTATCCACATATTTCCTGTAAAGATCCCAGATTTACTGAGCACACAGGTGACAAAGACCAGTCAAACTGCTGAACTCCCGAGGTCTGCTCTATATTCTCATCTCCAATTGTAATAAAGATAGACACAGATAAAGGTTAAGTTAATGGTCAGGCTGGTAAACAGTATACCAGGCCAAAGCGTCAACCCCCAAAAACCTGTGAAGACGACAAAAACAAACAAATTATTATGCGGAACAGAGTAACCTAGTTAGTTTAAACGCTACTACTATAATGAACTTCCTATTCGTACCCTTCCATCCAGGCTTGCTGTCAGTTCCATTTCCTGTGGTCGTGTCTACAGGGCAGTTTGACGATGCAGAGGAGCTGTCCATTCGCTTCTCCAGATGCTCAAACACACTGCCCTCATCGATCAGTGAACCTGAATCCCAAACAAAATCATTAAAATAAAAAATTTGAAAACAGAACATCTAAACAAGATTTGCCTTGTTTATGTGTTAAACTGAGGTTTCTTAAGTTATTAGTAGTACAATATAATTTTCAAGTAATACTTGTAAATAAATAGACTGAAGATTGTTCCTCAAAAATAGCAACAGCCTCCAAAAAGCATTTGGCCACTTAAAATAAATAAATAAATAAAAGCTGACAAATAAAACAATAACAACAAAGCCACAATCACACATAAAAAAAAAAAACTGATAAAATTGTGGGGCCACTCTATGCTATCAATCAGCTCAAACGATTAACACAAAATTAAAAACTACATCCAAAAGTGTCCTATACCATGATTCTGTGAATGGAAGTGTGGAACATCAGGCAAGAATCCTCCGCTGTGCACGTGGCTTTGCTCCGAAAGAAAGGGAGGAGGTGAGGCCAAACTAAAAGGCTCCAGAGGAGAGGAAAAGAGCCGCAGCTTTTGCCCACTGATGTTGAGTCTGGCTGGGCTGATGAGTGGCCGGCGCTGCCTGGCAGAGCTAGAGGTGGAAGTGACGGATCCTGCCACAGAAGGGGTTGGAGACGGCCCAGGAGAGGAGAGTCGGCTTCCAGATTTTAGGGAGTAGTAATCTATTGAAAAATGAAAGAAATTGCACAGTGTTTATCAAATGGTGATGTGACTGGTTAAGTAACTGACTATTATCATGTATGATTTATCAGGTTTTAGTTCTTAAAGATGTATGCAACCATTCCTTCACTTCTTTTGAGTTACCTGAAGGTGGAGAGTCTTTACACTGTGAAGATGGTCTACTCCCACTGAAGAGGAAACCTGAATCTATAAGTAAAAGACCAGGGTCTTTTTATTCATCTTTTATTTGATCAAAAATACAGTAAAAGTGGTAATGTTGTGAAATAGTACTATTACAATTTTAAATAACCATTTTCTGTTTTTCTAAATGTAATTTAATCCTGTGATGGCAAAGCTGAATTTTCAGCATCATTACTCCAGTCTTCATTGTCACATGATCCTTCAGAAATCGTTCTAATATGATATAGTGCTTATTATTATCAATGTTGAGAATAGTTCTGCTGCTTAATATTTCTGTGAAAACAAGATTCATTGAAAAATATAAAGTTCACAAGAACAGCGCTTATTTGAAACAAATGTTTTGTAACATTATAAATGTCTTTACGGTCACTTTTGATCAATTTAAAGCATATTTGCTGAATAAAACAAATTCTTAAAATAAAATAAAAAATCGTACCAACCCCAAATTTTTGAATGGTAGTACAACTACAGTTTCTTGTTTGAAACATTTCCATGGCTACTTTCTCAAAAAGTGAAAAGGAGCTATCACACAAAAGACTGATAGAAATTCCTAGCAATTTTTTCTAATACAACACAAGCATCCAACTGCAAAGTAGAGTCATTTAACGCTCTCATACTGTCATTCCAGGAATGTCTCCATATGTGGAGCCAACACAGCTGCAGTCGTAGAGAGGAGCAACACCATTACTGAACATTATAAAACAGACGGGTGAAGGTACATGATGGAGCAGGTACTGGCCCTGCTCACAACAAAAGCCTTTTCAAGACTTCCTGTAGACGTGTGAAAGGGAGATGAGTGATACTCTAATGCTTCTGTAAAAACGAGCTGTGAGAGATCTCACTGGACTCTCAGTGATATTTCTTTAAACTAAATATTTGTTAGCTGTTAAAGATCACAATTACATACCCATCTCTATATAATGCAATGAGGTGGAAAATTAATCAAACACTGAGATTTCTCAGACAAGTGTGTTTGATTAAATCAAGAGCGTAAAGATCAAGCTCTGGCCCTTTTTATCACACCTGCCGAGCCACTGCATCTGATTACAGGAGGCTGACGCTTGCCATCTCATCTGGTCTCGTCTGAAGATCCACACATGAAACGAACCATGATTCTTCTACCGTCTCACAACAGTCATTTAAACACCACTCCCGACATCACCCTGATCCCAGGCTTTAAAAGCCTGTGTGTATTACAAAGTCCCGTTTACTGAAGGGTCAAAGCTAAAAGCTCTGGCAAACCAAGCTGTTGCCCCTGGAATCCCTTTTGATATATAGTACGAACAATATGTTGGCGGCTATGCCAAGTCAAAACTGTGAGCCAATTATGCAAACAAATTTTTTTAAACACATAAGCAGGAATAAAAAAAAAATCTTGTTAAAGGAATAGTTCTTTGAAAAAAAATTGTTTTTTTTGTTATGCATGTTATTTTTTCACAAAATGTGAATTTTGAAATATCTTCTTTCATACACTGATAGTTCATATTGATCTGCATCATATCTGATATGAAGGGCATTATCAGTGAATAAGGTTCCTCACACAACTCCATTTTTGGAGCTGGAATAGAGAAAAATTGTTCCACTGAAACAATAACAACATACAGGATTGGAACAGCATGACGGTGAGTAAATAAAGGCACGGTTCATTTAAAGGTTCATTATTCTTTTAAATTTAATGGCATTAGATGAAACAGATCAGCAATGTAAATTAGTCCCTTCCTGTAACTCGAAACTCATCAGTGATGGGAAAATCCCTGTAGCATGCAGGTAGCGTAAGACATCGAACAGACTATTTCTCAATCACACTTCACAGTTTTCTTTGGCAGTTGGCAAAATTCCCCTGCTAGGTGCGGCACCATCTGGGGTGAAGTGTGAGCCGAGTTCCTCGTACCATGCATTAAATCAATCAGTGACCCACATCTTTCCCATCATGCACTTCTGCATTGGTTCTACAAAACAGCACCTGGGGCCTCTCACTATAGCAGCGCAGCTCTTAACTTCACAAACAATGTGAAGGCTTTTCTACATTATATAACGATTACAACTATTTTACAAAAAGCCCATTTCATTGCACAGCCCATTAATTTTTATTGTGATTTATTTCATTATAATTAGTTTTATTTAAAATGATTTTAATATTTATATCAGCAGGCTACAGGCATTTTTTTTGATCAATGATACAGTTAAAACAGTAATATCGTAAAATTACAGTTTAAAATAAATGTGTTCTATTTTTAATATATTTTAAAGTGTAATTATTTCTGTGATGGCAAAGCTGAATTTTCAGTATCCATTACTTAAATCTTCAGTGTCATCTTTAGAAATTATACAAATATGCCGATTTGGTGTTCAGTTATTATCAATTATTATTGGCATTCAATTATTAACAATAGTTCTTATTATAAATGCTGAAACTGCTCAATATTTTTGTGGAAACCATGATACAATTCTCAGATGAATAGAAAGTTGAAAAGAACAGCATTTACTTGTAAAATAAATATTTTATAACATAATAATAAATGTATTCATTTTTTATCAATTTGATTTGTCCTTGCTCAATAAAGCTTTTTTTTAGATCTTACTTGTCCCAAAGTTTTGAATAGTAGTGTATCATGGTTTCCACAAAAATATTAAGTAGCAAAAACTGGTTTTAACATTGATAATAAGAAGAAATGTTTCTGATTTCTGAATGTTTGAAGAACCATGTGACACTGAAGACTGGAGTAATGGATGCTGAAAATTCAGCTTTACCATTACAGGAATAAAATACATTTTAAAAGATATTCAAAAAGAAAACAGTTATTTTAAATTATATTAATATTTCACAATGTTACTGTATTTTTATATATATATATATATAATTTCATTAAACTTAAATTACAATGTCTTTAGATAACAATGTGCATCTATCTTATGCTTTACCTGCTCGTGCTAGGGAGGGGATAGTTCCCAGAGAGAGGGCCCTGTTGAGTCGCCCAGGGAGCGAGGAGGGCGAGGCTTTGCGCGTTCTGTGGCTTTGCTGGCGGATGAGCAGCTGTGACAGGTTGGGGGGAGGCGTTGGAATGAAGGTGGAGGATCCAGACACAGGTGCAGACAGCGGGGGACAGTGATTACTGTAGTACGGCCCAGGCGAACTGCCAGACAAATACCTGCAACAGACAGAAGAGAATTGGTCCACTGCTGAGTTTAATGGAGCAAATATCTCTTCAGTTACTGTTATGGACTAGATTCTGTTTCACTTCAAGCAGGTAACTGCAGAAATCCCTGCAGACTTCCATAGAATTCAAAAGCCTGAAGATACAGAAAATGTATGTTGATTCTGTCAAATGGTATTATCTGATCATTGCTCCTCATTTGAATGAACTAAAGATGAAGTAGATTTCAGTGATATAAAGATTTCATCGCAGATAATAAATAGAAGTAATTTAAGGTAACATATCTGCAAATGTATGAAATTATACATCAGAAAATATCCCAGTCCATATCCACTTGTTCAGTTCAGACATTTGACAGTCACTCTAATTTCTTGGTTATGTCGCTCTAATTTATAAAAGCACAAGCTACCATCTCAAACAATCTTTAATGTAATCTAAATAAATAAAAGAAATGGCAAACAGACAGTTCGCATTTTATCAGCATTTTATTTCACTTTCATAATAGGGATAAATAATACAACAGGGTCAAAAAAAAAGAAGATGCAATACAACCCAAGTATAATACAGCGATTGCTCCAACATTACTACAACAAATATGAGCTTAAGTTTCTGGACGGAAACGGTTTCACACTATTCAACAATGCAGTTGTTCATTTCACATTATATCTCTGGGGTCATTCCATGTCAAAAACACTAGAAACCACTGAGCAGGTGTTGATGAGATATCAGAAAAAGCACAGCAATGCCAAAAAACTTAATATCAGTGGAAGGTTTCTCAAAATCAGACAACTATTTCCAGCCTGCGGGCAATGAAGTATCAAAAAGCTCCAAGCAGATTTTTAGATTTGTAGTGGTTAGAGGCCACAACACATTCAGGTCCATTTGAGATTCTAGTTTAAAGTTTTATGGTAATTTAACTGCTTATAAAATCTAAGCTGGTCCAAATCAAAGTCTTCACTTAGTAAGAAACTGGATTTGACAAGATACAGCAGCACCAATATCAAAATGGGCAAAACCCAATTACTTTCCTTCCAATCAATCTCTGACATCACCATGCACCTTCTGGTACAACATGAACAGATCTGTGATTTCACCTTGACAGGTCCTACCACAATAAATCCTCAGTGCTAAATACAGTTTTACTTATTTACTCACATTTGAAATCATATGAAATTAGGGAGGCATCATACTTCCGTACAATCTAAACTTGTCTAGTAATGAAATAATCAAGTATAGTTACAAAAATACAATGCTGTGCTAAACAAATGTTATACATCATTTTGAGATACTTACATCAACGTCAAGTCTAAATGCACACTATTATTAGCATTTACCAACCATCAGCCTTTGGCAAGCAAAACTATGATAATGAGGATACATTACACTAAATATTCAACGATACTGATGTCTACAGTCAAATACTCAAATAAGTGAAATGTGCCACAAGTCATCATAAAAAAGCTAATGGCATACTTCACCTAATACAAAATTAAATTGGTAATACAAAATTATAAATATTAAAGCTCGTCGGAGGTGGGCAGGTACCATAAGATCTGTATAAGTTGATACACATCTAATGGAAATGAACATAATTGATTTAAATAGCAGAAAAGTTGCAGACCGTAAGTGTCTAAGTCACATTAGTAATTACTCTTATCACAGCAAAAAAAGAACTTCACAGCCACATGCGTACAGTAACTTGGGAAATACAGTGATGCAAACCTACAAAAACATACAATCTATAGTCATACTGTCACACATTTCTAGACCACAGCTAAAATACAGTATGCAAGAGACAATTAAAATACGTTTAGTTTACTATACAATCCCTACAAAGCTTTGTTTGTAGAAGTTTTGAAAATGTGTCTCTTTTTGTTAGAGAGACTCAAAAGCCATAAGATCTGTATAAGTTGATACACATCTAATGGAAATTAACATAATTGATTTAAATAGCAGAAAAGTTGCAGACTAAGTGTCTAAGTCACATTAGTAATTACTCTGATCACAGCAAAAAAAGAACTTCACAGCCACATGCGTACAGTAACTTGGGAAATACAGTGATGCAAACCTACAAAAACATACAATCTATAGTCATACTGTCACACATTTCTAGACCACAGCTAAAATACAGTATGCAAGAGACAATTAAAATACGTTTAGTTTACTATACAATCCCTACAAAGCTTTGTTTGTAGAAGTTTTGAAAATGTGTCTCTTTTTGTTAGAGAGACTCAAAAGAGATGGCTTCATGTTACAGAGGTTAGTAGTATTCAAACTAAAATGGCATGTAATACAATGTAGTGCACTCATAACACTTTACAGTAAAGAAAATATAATGTTCATAATATAATAAGCATAGTGCTATGTAGGGCTGGGTATCGATTCAGATGTCCCGATTCGATTCGATTTCGATTCGCAAGCTCTCGATTCGATTCTCAATTTTTTTGATTACATTCAGTGAATATAGTTTTAATACAAATGCTATTGATATTTCTAAAAAATGAACAGTAAACATCAGTTTACAAATGGTGAATTAATAAAAAGAAATTAAGAACCACATGCCTGTATTTTAAACC